CCACCCGTATCTATGTAAAAGAACCCTAAGACTCTCCTTTTCATCATGTAATCAAAAGCAACTTCTCTCTTTCTCCTTCCTGTAAATTCCCCCCCATCAGCTGATTGGGAATGCAAATTTGAGCTTTTACCAGCCCCTTGCCTCTTTGCCATGTAACCATACAACAAAACCTTTTCTTTCTGCCAAAACCTGGTGCCACAGTATTGGCTGCTCTGTGTGTTGGTCAATAAGTCCTTGTTCATTATTAATGTCTGATCACCCCGACCTGTCTTCAGCATGAATTGTTAGGTCTGTTTAACCAGAATCCTTCTGACACTTGGTGCTTCTTTTCAATAATGTTCCACCACTGACCTCTGCCCTACTTCTTGGCTATAAATTCTAACTTGCCCATGCTGTATTCAGAGTTGAGCCCAATCTCTCTCCCCACTACAAAACTTTATTGCTCTGATCACTGCACCTATGAAGATAGTTTTGAAAAAAGTCTTTCTTTTCTTTACCAAATGTCAATGAATAATTTTTTTCTTTAACAGAAGCTAGGAGCCAAAACTCAGATTCACTCAAATCTGAGCTCAGTCTAGTTCCAAAATTTGACCCAGCACTGTCTTTTCATTTTAGCTTTTATAGATAACAATAACCAAAAAATTGAATATTTCAATTTTCTCTTATCAATTTATATCTCCATATGCTCCAGGAGCCAACTCTTGGGGAGTTGGACCCACTTCCAAATTCTACTGGTAACTTCCACCTTTAGTAAAGAAGCACTGCTCAGCTGTGGCTCCACACCATCACTGACCATGTGACCACCAAGGAGAGAGGGATCTTTCAGCGTGTTTCCAGAGCCAAGGCCATTCTGGCAAATCCCACTCCATTGAAGCCAACTTTACCAACCAAAGCAGGTTGAAAGAAAATAAGGGAAAGTGGCTGGACTTACAAAGGTCTTTTGAAAATAACACAGAAAAGCCATTGAAAAGTGGCCAAGGAATCTGCCAGAAGCGCAAAAATCAGGAGGCCCTAGACAATTCATTGCTATGTCCTTCACAGCAGCATCTACAACTTTGTGGCTTTAATTTTGCTATTTTTGTTTCCTTCATCTGCATTCACTTTTGTAAAAGTATTTTAAAGAGAATACCAGACAATTTTCCATTTCAGCCCTACCTACATTGGTATGATATACTCCAATTAATTATGCTTATTTTTAAGCCATGACCACAGTGCTATAATCACACCTTTGAAATTAAAAATTCTTTAATATCACCTACTCTCCTGTCCATACTAAAATTTCCATAATTGTCTCAAAGATTACTTTTGCAGTGGGTTGAAATATGGTCTATTAACAGTGTTTGATTTTATCCCCTGATGATTCACTGATCCTTCAGGGAGACTGGCTGTCAGGAGAGTGTCTTGATTCTGGATTTGGCTAATTGATTTCTTATACTATCATTTGTTAATTTTATCCCTAACATGTCCTATAAACTGACAGATTTAGAGACAGACTTGATTCAGTTCATGGGTATGTTTTAGGTTATATGCTGTGTGTTACCTATTATATTATAATATGTGGCCTGTAAAGCAAGTTGTATCTTTCTTTTAATTGTTAACTCTCATACTCACTAATTGTACATATGTATGTGATACATGTGCAATTTTGATATATGTATTATATATAATCACATCAGGGTAATCAGTATATCCATCTCTTCAAATATTTTTCTTTTTGGTGAGAGCATTCAAAGCACTCTTTTAGCTATTTTGAAATATACAATGTATTATGATTAATGATAGTCATCCTACTGTGTAAAGGAACACCAGAACTTATTCTTTCTAATTGCAACTTTATCTAACATTTATCAGTGGTAAGATTGATTCATTGCTTCAAATGGCATCAGTCTGAACCCTCTGGCATGAAATTCTTCTTCAGCACATCTATTGAATTTCACATTTGTTGAAAACTGATGCCAAGAGTAAGTTTTCATGGGATGTTAAAAAAAAATCACTATAAACCCATACATTTAAAAATATACTCCATGTATCTCAGTGTGTTGCAGTTATTTTTTCTGATGTCCAAATTGTTCCATTTGGGCCGATGGGAGCATCTTCAGATGGTACTTCTGTCCTGTTGACAGAACCAATAGGCTCAGCCTTCTTGTATCCCAGCCAAACAGAATGCCACAGGCTCATACTGTTTATTTCCTGCTCCTCACCTGGAATCAGCACCTTTTCCAACGAGGTGTCTTCCTTTCATAAACTGTGCCCCTCCTCTGGGCTGAAGTCCTAACAAAATAAACATGTAATGGGCCTTCTTTCTAGCCAGATTTCTTTGACATTTGGAGCTATACTTCTGGTGATGACCTTATAGCTTTACTGGGAATTAAAAGATCTGTTTCAAATACATGCTTGATATTTTCAAATCACTCTGAGATTAGTATATTCCTTTGACACCAACACACAACACATACCTGTTTTGAAATCTCTATATCAAAACCAGATGGCAGCATCACATGCAAAGGTTCCCATAGTTCTGTGGAAAATAGTCTTAAGAAATAATAACTTGGTCAAGGAAGAAATTAAATGCTACTCTATACATTTAAAAACTGAAAGCTGATAATTATGGAAAAGAAAATCTTAAATGAGTCCCTTTGCCATTCTCCAAATGTATGTAATTTCACATTTATAAGACCTTCTTTCCTTCCCTACTGGAGTTCCTTTGTTTGTTTGTTTATTTGTTTGTTTTGTCTTTTTGAGACAGGGTTTCACTATGCAGTTCAGACTGGCCTTGAATTCACTTTGTAGCCCAGGCAGGCCTCAAACTCACAGTGATCCTCCTGTCTCAGCCTCCAGAGTGCTGGGATTAAAGGTGTGTACCACCACACCTGGCCAGTTTGTCTCTTTTTAAAGAAAGCATTACAAACAAGCTGACTTGCTTCTGGGATTCTGGGCAGGTTGAAAGCCCAAGAAATTCTAATTGTGTTTGGATTTGGATTTTAGTAAGGGGTTTACTTTGGCAAAAGAAACTGTGAGAAGAGCTAGGTATTGTGGTGCTGCCTATAATCCCAGCACTCTGGAAGGCTGAGGCAGGAGGATTGAAGTTTGGGTCCAGCCTGGGAAACTTTAGCAACTTAGTGAGACCTTGTCTCCAAATAAAAAGAGGGCTGGGAATGTAGCTCAGTGCACGGGCCTTGGCTCAATCCCCAGTACAGGTAAACTGTGAGCCCAACCAAAGAGCTCTATAACAGTGTTCTGCCCATATGCCCAAGCTGCAGATTTAACCTAGTATATAGGACAGGAAGAGATTTCCTCATCCACTGCCGGGTTCATGGCTGAGACCTATGACAAAATAAAGCATGCCAATTTATTTAATATAAATTGACATGACACAAGAGTCTTCAGAAATTAAGGCTCAAAGGTACAGGGAAACTCACGTATCTCTGCTCTTAGGTGTGAGGAAACGTAGAGCATCATGGAGGAGTATGATTGGATGAGCGGTGTGCAATGGTAGCACTTGGGAGAACTCAGCTTTCCCTGTGTCCCTGTGTGTTCTTTTCCTCCCTGCACAGGAGGGCACCTCTCAAGTGTGGATCTATGATCTGTGTCAAGCAAGAAGGGCAAGGATAGGCTGACTGAGGCTGGAGTGTTTGAGCTCTAGTTTTCAAGGTTGATTATTTTCCAACTAGGTCTTATATTTGGGGAAACATGGGAGATGCCCTCTGGCTGGAAGGCTTTGCTGTAGAGTCAAGCCTGTCACGTTATAGGACTGATTTTACTACAGCTCTGCAGTGGGACTAACTCCTGTGTTAGTGCCTTGATGGAAAAGTGTCAAGTGACTGTGTAAACTCAGTGTTGTAAGTGATCCGACACCTTACCTTTGCCTTATCTGATCATGTCCTCTAAGCAATTTGTAATGAGTTTCAACATTACTTCGCCTTAGCCCACGATATCCTCCTCCCTCTCACTTGGGGCCCTCTTGCTCAAGGTATAAAGATCTGGTGTCTAGACATGGACTGTATCCATGAGTCAAATCTAGGTGCAAGCATTTGTAAATTTCTCTCGTCCCTGGGAGCAGAATGAGCTTGGATACTTAGTCACTTTTAACTTGCCCACTCCCACAGTCTTCCGGTGAATAACAGAAGAACTGACAGCAGAGAAACACGGCTTCAGCTTCTGACTCATGTACATAGGACTCTGGCCACCTCCAAGGCAGCCCCTAAACGGCACCAAACCTATCTGTCTCTTAGTAAATGACCAATGGACTGCAGTGCCCTAGTATGTACAGAGGCCCTGTGTGAGCCAGACAAGACCACGGAGAGGCCAGCAGGTCACTACCTTCACACCACACTGTTAAACTCAGTGAATATTCAACAGAGGAGGAGGAGGGAAGAGAAGAAAGCAAGCTGGACTAAATTTCTGGGGCTGTATCATGCAGGTTTATCAGAAAGCCGCCTCTGCTTGGTAGTGTCATAACGCTCTGAGGATCATCCTGTCCATCAGGACAGATGACCTGCCTGTCCCTTTACATTTGGATGCCCTGACTACCATCCTAAAGAGACAACTTAACCTAAGAAATACTTAGGACAAAAAAAAAGACAATGACACAAAACACTCTTGTCTGCATTTACACTTGATCTATGTGTGAAGCAAACATTTTATTCTTTCTGCTCACATGGTTGAGGGGAAGGCCAGAATGATAACATCTGGAGAAATCTAAGCAAGCAGTCACAGCATGCCTTCCAAGCCCACTTGTTTGTAGAAAGAGCCTAGCAGCAGAACTGGAGTGTGACATGAGACCCTGGTGCACTTTGCACTGGGCAAGCACAGCACAAAGTGCATACCCTCTCCATGGCACCTGATGCCAAGGCCAGCTGTGCTGATGAGATAGGAGTATATTAATTTCCTTTATCCCTGGCATGCTAGAGAAAGATTAACACAAGACAATATGTGGAGGGACTCAGATTTCTCCCCGTGCAGTACAGAGAAGTGATTGTTTGCATGCTAGTAAGAGGCAGAGACAAACTCAGAGAGAATGTTACAATAAACACAACACTGCGCCTCAGGGGCCTGATCTAACTATTTCTGGGCAACAGCAGGACCTTCCCTCACTGGAGAGGGGTACAGTTCAAAGTTGGCCCAACCGAGGAGAAGCCCGGCTGATAGGCTGGTCCCTTTCTAAAGTCAACTAACTCTCACCCTTCAACTATTGGTCCTGAGTTGTGCTGAGCTGGTTGCAGCCGCTCTCAACAGCACTTGGGACATTGCACTGGACTTGTCAGGGCTGTAGCCTCCAGGAATCATGCCATCCATGGATGATATTTTAGAGCATATAGGGGAATTCCATTTTTTCCAGAAACAAACATTTTTCCTCTTAACTCTGCTCTCAGCTGCCTTTACCCCCATCTATGTGGGCATCGTCTTCTTCGGCTTCACCCCCAACCACCACTGCTGGAGCCCCGGGGTGGCCGAGCTGAGTCAGCGATGTGGCTGGAGCCAGGCTGAAGAGCTCAACTACACAGTGCCAGGCCTGGGGGCTGAGAATGAGGCCTTTCTCCACCAGTGCATGCAGTACCAGGTGGACTGGAACCAGAGCACCCTTAGCTGCGTGGACCCTCTGTCCAGCCTGCCTGACAACAGGAGCCGCCTGCCACTGGGCCCCTGTCAGCACGGCTGGGTGTACGACACGCCTGGCTCCTCCATCGTCACTGAGGTAAGTGAACTCAGGACTCTGAACAAAAAAGGCAAATAATTGAACTTTTCTTTAGGAAGAAACCAGAAAACACTTGGTTCTTAGAATTGCCTAGACATGCTTTTTAGACTTGATATATATTATAAAATCCTAATTTCCAAGTGAAAACATGCAGCTTCTAATTTGTCTTGAGTATGAGTGGATTAGTTAAAACTACCTCAGATTCTGACAGTGGTTCTAGTTCATGCAAGTCTCAGCAGTAAGAAACAAGAAAAGGACTTGATGCCAGGAAAGGGAATATTTTCAAGCTTCCTCTTTTTCTGAAAGCCGGTTCTCTGCCTCTGTTTACCACCACACAAGTGACATGGACAGCTAGTAGCATTCACCTGAATGGTGCTTTACTGTGAGTTACTGTGCTTTTCACTTGATGACCATGTTTTCCTCTTTAATTTGCTCAATGTCCATAGGAAATCATTTGGGCTGAAGATTTTGCTATGACACAATTATTTTTATCAAAAAGTATATTAGTAGCAAAATCTAATTGGAAGCTTCATTCCATAAGAGAAAAGAACATTCACAGACATGTTTATTGGATGCAAAGCAAAATGGAAGAGAAATTACCCTGAAAATAAAAGTGAGCTCTCCAGCTTAACTGAGAGGACCACTTGCATAATGTGAAGACCTGCTGTGCAAGTTGCATATTGGGGCAGTGGAGCTTCATTTGAAAGACAGTAGTGAGTAGCCGTGTGTAATACAGAGGTTCGTGGACTTAACACTATATAAGCCTAAGAGGTTCTACAGTGTGGCCAATCCTATCTCTTTGTACAGAAGAGGAAATAGAGACCCAGAGTAGAGCAAAGTTCTGTGCCCAACACAGATTGAGTGACAACAGAATTAACTCTAGAAGTCAAATGTCCTGATTTTTGGGCCAGCATCTGCTGACCCTACCACTTGCCTTATTTCAGAGGAAAGCAATTGCACCAGCAATTAGCAAGACACTCTGAATCCCTTATTGTTAAAAAGTCAGCTAAGAAATGCTCAACAACCCAGTCTCCTTCTGGCTGCACATGCGTTATATCCACACAGCTATTTACCTCTGTGTATTAAAACTAGGAAGGAAAAGTGGATTTGTTTGTAAGTAGAATCATTCTGCATGTTTGGCTGATTAGCCACTCCTCTAGTTTAGTCAAATGTCACACTGCAAGGTGGGATGTTAGATGGATTTTGGACCCAATATTTTGGTGGCATAAAGAACATTAACATGTGTAAGGAACTGTTGGGTTGTTGCCACTTAGCCACACCAGTTCAAAGAATACTCAGGGGGCTTCCTGGCTGAATTGTGTCTAACAGGATTATGCTTTCTTTCTTTCCTGGCCTGGAACATGTCTCATATCTGGACAGTTCAACCTAGTGTGTACCAACTCCTGGATGCTGGACCTGTTTCAGTCAGCTGTGAATGTAGGGTTTTTTGTTGGTGCTGTGGCCATTGGCTACCTAGCAGACAGGTAGGTGAAACACCTGTAGGGCAACTTCACAGTCTTAGATTTCTTCTACCGCTTTGTTAATGACTCATGCCTTTATTTTCAAATGCTGTACGGTCAGGCAAAGATGTTTCAGCACTAGGCAGCAATTTTTTTCTTGTGGGATATCCAACAGCTAAGAGCCAGAAAGGAGAGTAAAAGATGATTTAATCCCTTTTGTAATTCCTTTTTTTTTTTTTTTTTTGCCTCATTTCCTCCAACTTGGTCATGAGCCCTTAGGGCCTGTGAGTTTCTTCCCATCCTCTACCTTCCCTCATGCATCAGGGCTTTGAGCACCAGGCCGAGCACAGAATGTTCCCATTGCCTGTCAGCCTGCAGATTTCCTGAATTGGGTTTCTGGGGCCACATGGGATTGTGTTACAGAACCTTGCATATAATGAGTCTAATGAAAGTAGAACTGGGCTGTGTATACCAGGAGAGGTGCAGACCCTTCCATAAAGCAAGTGTCCCTGTAGAAATGAAGAGAGGCCATAACAATTGGTCCTCTCAGAGAAGTCCGTGTTCAGTGTCCACAGTAACCAAGCCAGCCCTGTATTTGATTCACCCAGCATTTTAATCCCACATTTAAAGTCCCTTAGAACACTATTCTCTGATCTATTCATGACCAACTTGATATTTTTAGGAGTCTTCAAAAGGGAAAGGAACAGAATCATTTGTTTTATCCCTGATAAGCACTTTAGATAACATGGCCACGCAGGCAAATTACCTAATATTCATAACGCTTACTAGGTACTGAGTGTTTTCTAGGTGCCAGGCATTGCATGTGAGGTTGTAGACAGACCATTTCTTTTCATCATCAGCCACCTAGTAAGAGATATATATGCAAATATATAGGCAGTATGATCAAATACGATAAACACTTAAATTAAATTTTATTTATTACAATAAAGACTCATTTACATTAAGCCTCCTCAAAATACTCTCCCTCACTTCAAACATGCTAACTCCATGGTTCTTGCCACTTTCTGAAGCAGTTCTGGAAGTTTTCTCTCCTGAGAGTCTTCTCTCCTGAGAGTCTTCTGTTGCACTGTCATGGGTGCCTGGATGTCCTGAATTGATTCAAAACCTTTACCTTTCATGGTCATTTTGGCTTTGGAGAAGGTAGATGAGGACACATGGTGATGCCTTTATAAGACTGCTTTTCTGGTAGATGATACTCAGCAGTAGCAATCACTGTATTTTTTTATCAGACCTGGTAAAGACACACAAGAAAAAATGTCTGCTTCAGAAAGGACTGCTTCCAAGACTGCTTCAGAAAGTGAGAAGAATGATGAGATAAATGTATTTGAAGTGAGGGATGATGTTTTGAGAAGGATTTGTGGCAATGTGCTTTTTAATGAAATAAATGTTTTAAAAATTTAAGCGCACACTGTATTTTTAACCAGCCCTTGTAACTGTGTATAATTCCATAGAGTATATAACTGTATGACTTAATTGTATATAATATATAACTATATGACTTAATTATATATTTATGTATGAAATACATATTTAACTCTGAAATAAATATAAATATACTTTGTACTCATTACCCTCCTGTGCCCTCCCCAACTGCACCTATCATGTGACCAGACCTGTGAGTATAATAATAAATATAGGCAAATATTTTCTCTGGTTGTATGATATTCTCAGGCTGACTAAAAGTAGTGAATATATTGGCCGTCCACAAGGAAAGCTCAGTGCAATTACGGAGCATGGGCCCATTTGGCAGCAGGAGGGAGGAAGGATAACAGCTGAGGTGCTGGGACTAAAAGGCCACTCTGTCATCACCATCACTATGCACGGCAACCATCTGCTCAGCCTTCCTGACAGTGCCCCCCCAAGGGGGGTTTCCTGTGGGAAGCTTATGAGGTAGAGAGGAAGGTCATCATTTTTACTGCTGTTACCCCAAAACCAAGGACAGGTCTTTGGAGATAACGCAATAAATCAAGACAGATTCATTAAAGGGATATCCAGGGTCCAGCCTTGCTCCCTGGGGCAGTTGGCTGGCAGCTCCTGTGCCCAGTGAGCTGGGGACATGAACACTCAACTCCCCCAGGGAAACATGGGAACACATGAAGTGGGCTGCAGACGTGAGTTAATTATTTTCATCCCACTCAAGGAGTAGGAGGTGGGTTCTAACTCTTTCCTGAGGGTACATTCCTGAGTGATAATGCCCAGTCAATTATCCTCCTCCTTAGATGACCTCATCATTCTGCTTTTGCTGAGGAAGTCTCCCCTGGAAAGATGATCATTCAGTATTCCTACCCAAAACATTGTTCACATGCCTTCATTTCCTCCTCTCTCTCCCTCTCTTTCTCTTTCTCTTTCTCTCTCTCTCTCTCTCTCTCTCTCTCTCTCTCTCTCTCTCTCTCTCTCTTTCAGTCTGGTACTGCAGATTGAACCCAAAGCCTTTGCACTGAGCTAAGTCCCTAACCCTTTTTTAATTTTTATTTTGAGACAGTCTAATTAAATGACTATATTGCCCAGGTTGGGCTCGAACCTGCAGTTCTCCTACTTCAGCTTCTCAGAGTATTAGAATTACAGGCATGAGACACCATGCTTGGATTCTACTTCTTTTTCTTAAACTGTCTGGAGGCTTTTTGATCATGAACTTCTTTGTTCTATTTGTGCATACATGCAAGAAGGTGCAAGGGGACCAGAAGTAAGACAACGGGCACAGGGCTCAAAAAATATGAAGCAATTTATCTTTTGCATACTTAACACCTGCAAGTTTCAGATTTTTTACAGGAATTTAGTACAATAATTTCATGGAAACCCATTTTATCCACACATGGAATGATCATTAAGTAGAATGTATTGTCTTCCATGAAGAATTTTAAAAATATACCCTAACAGCTGATTATGGTGTCTTTTTGAAAAAAACCTAGGAAGACAATATCAATAGGATATAAATAAGAATACTGGGAAGGAGGGAAAGTAGGAAGGCAGGAAGGCAGGAAGAAGGAAGGACAGAAGGAAGGAAGGAAGGGAGGGAGGGAGAGAGGAAGGGAAGGAGGAAGGGAAGAAGGGAGGAAGGGAGGAAGGGAGAAAGGGAGGAAGGGAGGAAGGAAGGAAGGGAGGGAGAGAGGAAGGGAAGGAGGAAGGGAAGAAGGGAGGAAGGGAGGAAGGGAGAAAGGGAGGAAGGGAGGAAGGGAGAAAGGGAGGAAGGGAGGAAGGGAGAAAGGGAGGAAGGGAGGAAGGGAGGAAGGGAGGAAGGGAGAATAGGAGGGAGGAAGGATTTTAAAGTAAGTCAACAGGCAAGTCTACTTCTTGAGAGCTAGCTTTGCAAAACAAAGGAAAGTCAGATGACCAAGAATTTGTAAATAAAACTTTCATAAGTGTCTTGGTTATTTTGTTGTTGTTGTTAAGACAAAATATTTAATGCCCAAAATTAAGGAAGGAAAGGTTTATTTAGCTTATAGTTTCTGGAGGTTTTAGTTTATATTTGGCTGGCTTTGAGGCAGAGTGGCACATGGCAGAGGGTAAATGTTTACAGCTGTGAAAGATAGTAAAGCAGTAAGAGCAAAGGGGAATGGCGGCAGGTAGCCTGTTTTTTTATGCAGTCTACTGGCTTTGGTGGCGTGGGGTGGTCTTTTACACCCCCACCCTCTGCATGCCTTCCTCTTGCATGGGCTCAGGATGAATATAAAGTAAGCACCTTGGCTCTCTTTTGAGTATATAGTTAACCTTTTAAACTTTTTAAATTGACACAATAAACAACATTCCAGGAGGGTAAGGGCATGTCCTTTTTACCCCAAGATGCAGAACTGCTGAGTTACTTAGCCAAACCTCTAGACTCCCCAAATTGACACAATGTATCAACCATAACATTCCACCCCTTGTCAACTTGGCTGTCAGACACCTTTTTAAAACTAGTTTTTAGATATAAAGACATGGTTATAATTATGCCTAACATATTATAACTATTTTATGTATTAATTTTTTTATTAAAATAGAAGGTAAGTTTTTTGGGGGTGATGTTTATTTTTTTTATATATATAACTTGAACATTATAACACAGTTTAACAATTTTTAAGGACCAGTAGTAAGTCTATCAACATTATATTATATTAGAATGATATTTGTGGAGGAATAGTATAATTATATTTTTTGTAGCTGATCACGTGGTTGTAATTGGTATTTAGAACTATCTTCTTTTACTATCTATTTTGTATTTTTGGGTTTTTTTTTGGCCTTTAGCAAGCACCTCAGCAGGTCTTGGTTCTTTCCCTGGTGGAGTGAACCATACCTTTATTTTTGAAGGCTCTGGGCCATTTCTCATTGTGCCTATATTAGGTTGTTGTAGTTTCCTATTGATTTTAATAACAGGGCATGGTAATATTAAGAGGCGCCCTAAGGGATCTCCTGCACTCCACATATATTTTTCCTTTCCCCCATTGTGGAGTAGTAGTCCAATTTCCCCTTGATAATCTGGGTCAGTTATCCCTGACAACCCTGTGACTCCCTTTTCAGCTTGTTTCCTCAGAGGCATGAGAAGACTAAAGTGACCAGAGGGAAATCTTAGTTTTTAGTTTAATGGTATCATTGTTGTGTTTTCTGGTACAAGCTTTTCCCCCTCTGGAACTAAGATGTCTAAGTCAGCAGAACATAAGGTTGTGGGGACAGAAAGCAAAAATTTTGCTAAGGGGTCACTAGGAGTAATTGTGAGTGGTACCATCCCTACTTGGGGGCGGTCTTTTACACCCTCACCCTCTGCATGCCTTCCTCTTACACAGGCTCAAGGTAAATATAAAATAAACACCTTAACTGCCTTTTAAGCTACATAGTTAAACTTTTTAAGTTGACACAATAAACAAACTTTTAAACTTTTTAAGTTGACATAATAAACAACATCCCAAAAAGATAAAAACATGTCCTTTTTACCCCAAGATATAAAACTGTTAAGTCACTTAACCAAACCTATAAACTCCCCAAGGTAACACAATATATCAACCATAATAATAAGATATCTAATTTATTTCTTCATCTTACTTCCTAAGAAGGGATTTTTGAGTATCACCTGAAACATAAAAAGTAATTCTTCATCAATTCCAGGTTTTTCAATCTCATGATAAATGATAATAAGTGCAAGATTTAGTGGCATGCTTGTAGGTGTTTAACAACTGGCTTTCTGCAGGGGCCATGGTCCCTTACAAGCTACCTATGTCACTGGACAGAGATGGCTAGAAATTTACGCTGTTACACAGCATTTCCCACACACAGCTACAATAGACATGAATAACCTCAAGAGCATAAATAGTCAAATGTAGTAGAATAATTACGAAGCAGTATGTTTTGCATGCTTATTACCCTTGTTTTTAATGTAACTTATTTCATTTTAAGTATATATAATTTAATTTTCAGCAATGGCTGTGTTTAATGAGCTTGCAAATTTTCTGAGTCTAACTATTAGCTCCCATGAGCCAATAGCCACTGTCTCTATGTTCTGATGGACCCAGATCAAAGAAGAAGCAAAGCCCCAGTATGTTGTATCCCAATGTACCTAACTGCACAGGATCTTCTAAAACAACTTATCGAATGACTACTATGTGCAAGTTGCTTCATTGGGTATCCTCACTTGTTAATATTTCATTTGGATTACAGCAGCTTTTAAGGTAGATTATACATCCATCATTTATAGAGGAAACTGAGATGCAATGAAATTGAAGCACTGCTTCCCAGATGCTAACGTGCATACAAATCCCCTAGGATCCTGTTAGAAGTCAGGTTCTGATACAGTCTGTCTAGGTGGGCCAGAGAGTCTGCATCTTCAACCAGCCCCCAAATGGTGCTCATCCATGCCTTCCCACTATGCTGAGAGTTCTACCAACTACCAAGTAGCAAGCAGCAAAAGGAATTATAAAGGTGGCAGTACTGGCTGTCAATTCCTTCTTTGCTGTTTTATCTGTTTATCTTTCATGTAATCATTTAAATTGATCTATTGAAGCTGGTCTCACACCACTATCCCAGCCCACCAAAAATGCCTTAGTTTTTCAAAAGAGAATTGCATCCTTAATTGGAGCATGTTCAACAGTGAAGTTTTTCTACATCATGGATAGTGTTTCCTTGCTTATATTCTCAATGGTGAATATTTCCTCTCCCTTATCCAAGGATTTCATCCATTGCAGCAGCATCACTGTTATACTGTGTGCCTGAATCAGCCATGGATGTTGAAAAATTACTACTTGAGCAAATGTTTATAGATTATAAAACCTAAGGATAAAAGAAAGGGTTTAAGGCAGGAGAATGGGGGTAGGGGCTAAAATTAAGTGACATGTGACTTTGGAAGGTTTTGAATTAAAAGCCAAGGAGTTATATATTTACAACAGAGAGCAAGTAACAGAGAATCAGGAAATGATATGGCCAAAGAGAGTTTTAAGAAGTTTAGTAGTTTATGTTAATTACTAATGCAAGTGCTTGAACTTTAAATTTGAGGTTTAAAACATTAACAATCTAAAATAATTATTAATGATTGTCTTACTTTTTTTGTTGCTGAGACAAAATACCCAACACCCAAAGTTAAAGGAGAAAAGGTTTATCTCAGTTCACAGTTTGTAGAGGCTTTAGTTCATAGTCAGCTGGCTCCAAGGCAAGTTGGAATAGCAGAGGAGAAAAAATTCATGACAGGAAGAAGGCAGGAAGGCAGCAGAGTATGCAAGTAGAAAGCAGCAGTGACAAGTGATCACACCAGCCCTCTTTCTGTCCCTTATATTCTGTTCAGGTTACCCATCCTTAGGGCAGCACTCATACCCAGGGAGGGCCTTCCCATTATCCACTCCCAGAATTATCCCAAACTAATCAATGGACCAGTTTAGTAATCACATACCCTTGATCCTAGTATCACACACTTAATCCCAACATCACACACTCTAGATCCAGCCACCCTGAAAAGCCCTACCTATGACCATATGAGACTTTGGGGAAACATCGAAACACAAGCCATAACAATGATGTTAGTATTTGAAATAGTAACCAGAACATTGTTGCCTATTAATACAAACAGCAATTATAAAATCTTCATCCACCTTTAGGATGTGCAATACTAGTGACAAATATTTATTCTAGTTGAAGAGGGTAAAATGAAGACTATTGTTTTCTCTGAAATATTTTCAAAATATCCAGAGAGCAAATTAAAGTGTCTTTTAGAACACAACTAGGAGAACATGATGAAAATGTAAGAGGGCTTCAAGTCCATTCTCTGACAACCAGATGTTTTAGTCCATGTTCTGTTACTCTAATGTAATACCTGAGACTGAGTAACTCTACAGAGAAAAGAGGTTTATTTATTCTGTAGTTCTGGGGGCGGGGGCTGTTTTTGGTACCAGGAATCAAACTCAAGAACTTGTCCTTGCTAGGCAGGAGCTGTGCAGCTGAGCTATATCTCTGGCCCTAGTTCTGGAGGTTTGATTGCAGGGCACCACATCAACTCAGCTCTGGTGAGGATCAATTAGTATGTGCCATCATAATGGTGGATGCATTTAATAATGGAGACCTAGTAACTCTTACAAATATGCTTGGTGTACTTTGTTGCTTTATGTCACATTTTAAATTGAACATTAAGAGAATGCAAGTTTTTGTTTTGTTTTGTTTTGTTTTGTTTTGTTTGTTTTGAGATAGGGTCTTGCTATGTAGTTCAGGCTGGCCTTGAATGCACTATGTAGCCTCAGCTAACCTCAAACTTGCAGTAATCCTCCTGCCTCAGCCTCTCAAGTGCTGGAATTATAAGCATGTGCCACCATGCCTGGTCAAGAATGTGGTATTTTAATTTTAAGTCTGCCAGTGCTTCTATCTAGAGATCTATTGCCATTTTGCTCTTCAGTGAAATTTTTTCCCCAAGAAAGACAGGACTACAATTTTTTCTAACAAACTGAGATGATACAGTGTTTTCTTGGTTATCAAAACTATTCTTGTAGCTTTGGGATTTTGACTTGGTTAATATTCATGGTGTGTGGGAAAGCACACAACACTGTACAATATCACCCATGTTATGTACATACACAGGACCTAGAAGGACACATCCAACAAAGCTTGACTGCAAATGACTTTATTCTGTGCTTCTTGTGTTTTTGTTTCCTATAATGTATGTGCTAACTTTTCAAAAATAAGATTACTTTTAAAGCTTAAAAAATGATGTTGGGAATATGCATGGGAGGAAGAGATCACACCACAAAACAGGAAGCCAGAGAGCGATTCAAAGATCAATTTGCTCTCTACAACTCTCTTTCTTGAGAACCTCCTTAATCTTCGGTAAGGGCAAGGCCCCTAAAAATCTAAGGATCTCCCACTAGGTTCCACCTTTTAGCAATTTCCTGTCTCCTAACACTCCCACAATGAAACCAAGTTTCAAACTCATGTGTCCCTGGGGGACAAAACACATTTAAACTTTGGCACCAGCTGTGCAAACAGAGGAAGAAAGCAAAGAAGACTTTATTAAGCTCCTTGCCTCTAATAACTTACTTAATCCTCTTTTCAGCTGGTCAGATAAGTCTTTTTCATTTGAAGTAATTGAATAGAGTTGAATAACTTGCCAAACACCCTACTAAGTATTAAGACCATGATTAAACCTAACTTGCCATTTTTTCTTGCTCTATTCTTGGACAACTCTCCAAAGTCCCTAAACTAATGAAAGCCGAGTTCCCTCAAATCTTAAGTATGGAGTTCATCCTAAAAGGAGCTCCACAACAAAAGCACCTTGGAATTGTAACATGTGAAACCAAAGACATACAGACATGCAAAGACCACAAAATTTCAAATGTACTGTTAAAAACAAATAGGCATAGGGGGCTGGGGATTTAGCTCAGCGGCAAAAGCGCTTGCCTGGCAAGCGCAAGGTCGTGAGCTCGGTTCCCGGTACCGGAGAAAAACCAAAAAAAAAAAAAAAAAAAAAAAAAAACAAATAGGCATATATACTATCAAATTTTGTTTTTCCTAAAGTAAAGGTGGGCAGTTGGTTGAGACTGTTAATGCAAAAAACTCAGCTCATAGGATGATGTAAGACCTAACTAAGCCCTTGGGGCATTAGCACTGGGTGGCCTGGAAGGACAAACCCCTCCTGAATGCTCACCACAGTGTGGAGCTGAGATTCTTCAGCCCTGGAGAGAACAGGGCTCTCTGCGCATCAATTTTATACACTAAAAAAATCTCCTAAACAGAACCGCAGTCAGGAATTATCTTTGTGGATATAAAGCCTTGATAGTAATTTAAAGTTAACTTCTGCTTTTAATTAGATTTCCATAACTTCCATGATCTTTCTGCAACTTTTATGATTCAAATTTAATTGTGTTTGCTTTTGTTGTTTACCTCTCCACAGGTTTGGCCGTAAAATCTGCCTCTTGATAACAATTCTCATAAATGCTTCATCTGGGGTTCTCATGGCCATTTCCCCAAACTACACATGGATGTTACTGTTTCGCTTGATCCAAGGACTGGTCAGCAAAGCAGGCTGGATAATCGGCTATACTCTGAGTAAGAATGATAATGGTTGTAGGTGTGAGAGCACAGGGACTTGGCTGCCAAAGTAGCATCAGGTGGGGGATGAAACAAGGACCCAGCTTCAAGACAATGTTGAGAGATTTAGTCTGTATCCAAAAATGTTCTTAAATTGTCTAATCAGCTCTTTCTGCATTCCTTCTACAAAAAGAAAACAGTGGAGGCAGAGACAAGGGCAAATATCTTGCCAGCCAGATTTCTATATAGCGCTTTCGGAATTTCTGTTTTCTGCACCGTAGAGTGTTATGTAGAGAGGAAACCTAACCCACAAGGCCCATTCAGACACAATGGGATCAGATAGATGCAATGGTGAGAGATATGTTTGATGCATAAAGCACTTCATTGCTCTGCCTACATCCATTCTAGTAAGCCACAGTTATCCTCAATTTGTGTACAAAACCATAGAGAGTACAAATACTGTAATGGAAACAGGTTCAGCACCTCAGCAAGCCATTTGTAAAATCAGGAATATTATTTTTACCCTCCTCATTAGTAGCCAGAATATGGTTAAAATCCATGGACTGTGATAGCATATTTGAATTCTAACAACAAAGCATATTTAGAGCATAGAGAAATATCATAGCCGTAAGTAGACCTTTGAAATTAACCCTCATCATCACTTTCTCTTTTGTTGTGATTGAATAGCATCTACACAAAGGGAAAGGGACATTTGAAGTTATATTACTAACAATAACAATAATAATGCTCTTTAGACATGAGAGAACTCGAATGTATGTGCTTACGTAGTTTTACCTAATAAAGCCAATTTGAGAAATTTTGTGACAGGAAAAGGAGATGATTCTTAATACTATTCCCACCAGGGCAGGCATCTAAAATAACATTTGGCCAATGAAGGAGATCTTGTATGCAGTTATTCAACCAATAATTTGGCTTCTAGAGCATGCAGTATGTAGAATTTAATTGTGTATATATATATTTCAGCAAAAGTCAATCTCAGCCTCCTTCCATTCATTTCTTCTCCAGTCCCTCTGAATACTCTTGAGCCTTTGATGTATACCTTGTTACTCCCTTTCCTCCTCCTACCAGCCTTTCCCAAAGCTCATCCATGACCCCAGTCACTTTGAAAGACATTTGTATTTATTGAGCACTGGTTTGCTTTCTTTCCTTCTGTTTCTTTTCTCTTTCTTTCTTCCTTCCTTTCTTTCTTTCTTTCTTTCTTTCTTTCTTTCTTTCTTTCTTTCTTTCTTTCTTTCTTTTCTTGCTATCAATTTATTTAGCTGTGTTTTTGTTTTGTTTTGTTTTCTTTCTGGTACCGAGAATCGAACTCATGACCTCGTGCTTGACAGGCAGGCACTGTGCCGCTGAGCTAAATCCCCAGCCACTTTTTGCTGTTTTTAAATTCTTCAAATAATTCAGTTATTTATAGAAATATTTTAGAGTACATTTCTATTTGGTTTATAAATAGTTGAAGCCTTTAACATATTTGCCGAACATTTAAACCCAAAACTATGGTTTGTGGAACATCTGGAGCTTCAATGCTTCTATGTCTGTCACATGAAACAACTGTCCCCTTGTTCCATGCACATGAACCTCATACATCTGCCATGGTGCAGTCATGGGATGGGATAAAGCTGATTGTTATACCGTGTTTAGTGAGTATTGTGCTCCTAAATTGGTTCTTGGAATGTAAAAAACCCTGATTTCTAGTTGTTTTCAACTTCCTAAGTTTAAATACTTCTACTATGGCTGATTTCAAGATAATAATAAATTTAATAACTTGTTTCCAAAATTCCTGAAAATTGTAAAATGTGCTTTTGCAGCTAGTACTTCCAAATTCAGCCTACTTCTCAGTTTTTAGTCTTTTGCACAGATAAGCAAGATTGCAAAGGAAATGTTTACCTTATGAGAAAACAAGTTATAGTCAGGTGTTCATTTATATACAAGTTGTCTAAAATGTAAATTTAATGCTTGATACATTAATTTTGATCATGAGTTATCACTGTCTTATTATTTTAGATGAAAAGTTCTTCACTTAGCTGAAATACAATTGCATTTGACTCTGAAATTATTCTATAAATAAACATTTTTGTTCATACTGGCAAGTTTTTTATTTTAAATCTGATATGGGGTTATAGATATCTATTAATTAATACAATAGTAATAACTGTAACATAATAAGGCCCCAAAGAACATTTTTAAAAGTTCAGAGAATTGTATAGAAACCTCTGGAGTCTGCTCCATATATTTGAGGCTGGTGTTCTGGTTTCCTTATAGCCGGACAGCAGCTCACAGTGGTGCTGAATGTGTTGTCCTTTTGGATTCTCTCTGCAGTTACAGAATTTGTCGGACTGAGCTATCGGAGAACAGTGGGGATTTTTTACCAAGTTGCCTTTACCATTGGGCTCCTGGTGCTAGCAGGGGTGGCATATGCTCTTCCTCACTGGAGGTGGTTGCAGCTTGTAGTCACTCTGCCTAACTTCTTCTTCCTTCTCTATTACTGGTAAGTCCATTGGGAGTGAAAAGAAAAGATGATGAAGTCATTTATTTTGTTAAAATATGCACACTCTGCTTCTAAATTTCCTTCATTTTTCAGGTTTTTTCACAGAAACACCAACTCCAAGTTTCAGAGATAAAAATTACATGCTCCCATAATGGGAATCTAATGCCTTTTCACTTTGGGCATAATATTTTTGTGTCCTGGAGCTTACATTTCAGATACTTTATTTGGAGTTTAAATTAGCTTCCAGCAACTTTAATACAACTTAGACTACAGACCCACAAGAGATCAACAATCTTGCTCTTGCTGTTTTATTCCTCATTGGTGGAAGCTTTAGGATAGAGAAGGATGAGCATGGCACTCATGTCACCACTTCCCCACACCCATGCTCAGGGCAGACACCCTCAATCAATCACAGTACCCATTATTCCAAATAAGGCCATCATGGCACTCTAGGACCATACCAGTCACCATCACCAAAGCAAATTAAATATGTTTCCCAAGAGAAACACATGGAAAATGGCAGAAGATATTAGCAAACCATAGCATGTCTGAAATAAAGCAGACAAGATGCTGGATTACCAGACCAGATCCTTCTGCTGTGCAACAAATCCACTTTTTTCCTCCTGGATATATCAGCTTGTTTTTCCTATAATTGTCTGGCCTAAAGGTTAAACATCTCCACCCTTTCCAAGATGCCTGTTTCTTTACCAAAAGCCAGTAAAATTCTGGTCTTAGCTCAAGATTCTACAACATACACCAAAGACTGGATGCTTAAATAATGGACACTTATTTCCCATAGTTATCAAGACTAGGAAGTCAAAGGACAAGATGTTGACAGATTTCTGTCCCACCTCAAACTTACAGAGATCTTCCATCTTCTGTGTCCTCACATGACAGAAATTCAGTGAGAGAGCTCTGATCTCACTTCCTCTTCTTATAAGGACACTAATCTCATCTCATTAGTGTCACCTCATCTCAGAGATTTATCTAAACCCAGTTACTGCCCAAAGGCTCCATCTCCATGGTCCACATTGGGGGTCAGGGCTTCAACATGTGAATGTGTGTACTATACTCTGAGATTAATCATCATCTCCCTTGTCTCCCTGTGCTCACTTTTACTCCTCTGAATCCACCCTTTTGTCCTATTCCCATTAGGAAATCTTATTTCTCAGCTAAACTGCTCCAGTAGAGTCCCACCTGCTCTTCTAGACATTTGCTTACTATCCTCTGATTCATCTTCATACGGAAATTTTAAATCCAGTTTCTCCATGCCACACCTATGTTTGAAAGTCTTCAAAATTTGATTCCCCTGTGAATAAAGACCTAATGTTTCAGCCTGACAGCCAAGCCTGCTTGTTACTCAAGTTCTGGCTGCCTCGGAGCACTTTTTGCCACTTGGCACTCCACAAAATCAAGCTGAAATTTTATATACAGTATTTCATGATGGGGGCGCACTTTTGAAAGGCTATTTGAGTTGCAGAGCAGTAAACACGATTCTTGGGGAAAGAATGGAGGGAGAAGCATCAGTTAGAAACTATTTCAATCTTCCTAGAAAAAGAAGACAAGAGGCTAAACTAAGAAGCTATGTGTAGGAAGAAAAGGAAAACTATATCTATATCTGTATCTATATAATTTCTAATAAGATGGCAATCATGGGTTTTGGTGGGTGTCTTGCTTACTTTTCTCTCATTGCTGAGACAAAATACCTGAAGGCTAAAATTAAGGAAGTAAGGCTGATTTAGCTCATAGTTTGTGGAGGTTTCAGTCCATACTTGACTGACTCCAAGGCAAAGGGCAACAGTTCATGATGGTGGAAGACAGTAATAGCAACAAGAGCAAAAGGGAGAAGCTGGAGCAAGCAGCCTCTTTCCCTCCCTTACTTTGTATGCAAACTATCCACCCCAAGGTGGGTGTAGCACTCACACGCATAATCCCAGCATTGGACCACGGATGGATCATAAACTCTAGAAGCCCTTCCCCATGACTGCATGAGGCTTTGGGGAGAAGTCCAGACACAAACCATAACATTAGGAAACCACATATGGAGATCTCGAAGGAGGGGATATCCAGTATAGGCTTAAGTGCCTGCGTGTTGGTTGGGTGTCCAGAAAGACGAGCAGGTTGGAAGGAAAGGTGACAAACTGAGCTTTGGACACACTGAAGTTGAGGTGCTGAAGGGAAGCCACATGTAGATATCCAGAAACCAGTGTAATCTAAGGATCTGGAATTGTAGTAAATTTCATATATGTCTTTGTTGTTGCTATGAGGACAAATGAGATCACTCAGAAGAAATGAATAGAGTTGAGAGAGGAAGGAGATAGGGCCAGAATCTAAGACATCACCAAGTTTTGAAAGCTAAGCAAAGGAATACAATCTGAGACCAAAGAAGAGCAAGGTGACATCATCCAAAAGGGAGAAAGGACTTCATAGGCACGGAGACAGAAATGGAAGCCACAGGTGAGGGAGCCTCTAGTCAATCTTCCACCTCTAAAACCTCTTGTGGGATGTGGTGGAGCTCCTCCTCCTTGCTGGTGAGCTGTTCAGTCATCTCTATAACCCTCACATCACCAATTCTTGGCCCCAGTTGGGTCATTTCATAACCCAACTGGCACAGTGTGCTGTCAGCTCTTTGAGGTCAGGTGACATTAGGGCCCTGTGGTGTAGCCTCCTATCTAGGTCTTGATAGATGACTGTCTGGCCTTGAATTAGGATAATTTCTATTTTATTAAGCAAGTAACTCTACTGTAAAACAAACCCAAAGATTATATTCAGATTACTTTGGATTGAGCCAGTATTTCCACCCCTATCATTTTTACCCAATGTTTCTAATTCTCAAAAAAATCATTTTAGTTTTTATTCTATTAAATATCTCTGTTTTTATTTTGGAACAAAAACAAATTAACAAACAACCATTTAGAAAGTAGCACAAGAATAGTACAAGCAATACTGAATTACAGACAAGGTGACAGGGAATTAATAATGGTTGTTGTGTTACATATTGATAACTTCAAAGTGATTACTTAAGGAAACAAATATAGACATGCAAGATTGACCAAATAATTAATCATTAACTGTTCCATTCAATAAAGTGATATAAGACAGTAGGACAACTATGTTAGCTATCCTATATATACATATATATACACACAATTTTCCCCATCTTCCTTTTCTCTTCTCCCTCATCCCAGTAGCCCTTCACTTTTGAGCATTTTCCTTCCATTTCACAATGTCTATCACACCTCCTAGTTTTTATTCACTCTTTCAGGTCTTACACTAGTGAGACAATATAATTCTTATCAATGTAGGTCTGATTTATTACACTTATGAGTATGGTCTCTAGTTGTTACCATTTCCCTATAAAAGCCTTGATTTTATCTTTCTTTATAGTTGAGTAATATTCCATTATATAAAAGTACCACAATTTTTTTTAACAAATTCTCAGTGGATGGACATTTGGATTGCTTACACAATTTAGCAAATACAAATTGCTCTGCTATGAACATGAGTGCACATATATCTCTGTGATATGATGTTTCCAGATCTTCTGGGAAAATACCCAGAAGGGGAATAGCTGAGTTGAATGGGATCTCTAGACCTAGTTTTCTGAGGAGTCTCCAAACTGATTTCCACAGTGGTTTCACCAGTCTGCATTCCCACCAGCAATGAAGAAGAGTTCCTATTTCTCCACAGCCTCACCAGCATTTGTTATTGGTTGATTTCTTAATGATAGCCATTCTTACTGGGGTGAGATGAAATCTCAATATTGTTTTAATTTGCATTTCTTGAATGACTAATGATGTTGAACACTTTCTCATGTATTTATTTGCCATTTGTATTTCATTATCTGAGAAGTGTGTATTCATCTCAGCTGCCAATTTCTGGATTTGGTCTTTGAATTTGGGGGAGCTGATATTTTTTAATTCTTTATATGCTCTGGATAGGAGACCTTTGTCC